GCTGTTTAGATATGATTTCCAAAAACTTATGGGACCTTCCAGAAACATGTATGTTATTCTGTGTTCATGTGGTGCTGGGACTGCACACAGATGGAAGCTATGCAGCTTCTTATAGTATGTAACTCTGGGTAGAGTGGGCTGCACCACAGCTTATTTAGGCATGCCACAGCAAAGGGAATGGGTACTTATAAAACCAACCAATGTTGGTTTGGTTTGTTTCCTTAACTTCTGTGCCACAATAAGAAAAATTTGCATTGTCACCATATTGACTATCTTGTATACATCAAATGACAACAATGCTAATTCAATCCCTTTCCATTCCAGACTGAAATACAAGAAAGAAGATCTTAATGGCAGTTTTATCAATTCCTGTGCTGTTTGTTGTTTTGCCTTATACTTCATTTCAAGTTTACACTTGTAACTGTTTCTATGGCATTTTAGTCATCTGTTTGCAACCCAGCCAGAGAACATTAACTATTGGACAGAGGAAGAATATAATTAATTACTAAACAGAGTTTATCGAGGTCCTCCTACTGGAGCCATGGGCTGGCAATCATGGCAAGGCAGTAGGCTCTAGGAGATGCCATCCTGTGTCTCATCAGGAGTATCCACTTATTTCACTTACATGATCTTGTATGTCTAATCTCCTGAATTCTTCCATTTGCTCACTTATCAAAGTTAATATTCATGTAAGAAACAGCACAGATATTTGCTTTGTATTTCACAGAGCAATGATGATTTGCACAGAAACTTTCCCAGCTTTCGATCAACACTGACTCAGGATTCAGCCAACAATAAAAAGCACAGTAAAACAACAAATAAAATATGGCAAACTTATTAAACAACAAGAAAAATAATATCACGTGTAAGAGGTACAGGCACTTAAGTTGCAATCCAAAGGTATTGCACAGAGAAGTTTTTTGCCCCACACTGATTTTTTTTCTAAAGGATGGAGAAGGGTGCATTCCAGGCAAGAGTCAAAGGTGTTATAAAGGACTGCAGGGAAACCAGGAAACCCACTACCTACAAAGCAGAAATATTTTCTATTCTTTTCTGGAGCTCTTTGGGTCCCAGCCTTAAGGGCAAATTCAATAAAATATTGAGAGAATAAATATCCCCCCACCCCCCTGTTATTAACCCAATCTGATTTAGAAGGCTCAAGGTTGCTTTGAACTAACAAGAAAAAAGATTACAGATCTCTCTGTATTTCATCTAGTTTAGCCTTTGGTCTTAAAAGTATGCTGCTTAGCTTTTTTCTTTTCTAGTACTCATCCAGTACCCTCTCATCCAGAGATGAGTAGGTAAAAATAAAAAAGACAAACCAAAATCCATTAATTGTACAAGACTTTCAAAATCTTTAAGAAGATATAATTATTGAATGGGGCTCTCACAAAGTCATTAGTCTCTTCAATGAGTTTTGGTCATTTTCCTGCGTCTTCCTGCTTCTTTAGCAACTATCTTTTCTACCAATAACATCCCCAGGAATAGCACAAGAGACAATTCACTGCATGATTATCTTTTTCAGTTACATTGCTATGTAGCATAAATGCTCTATTTACTTGGATTCCTGCATTTTCCCTGTCATTTTGCTTTTGCATCATATCTTTAAGACTGCAGATGTGTGAACAACTGTGTTATTTATTTAAAATAGTTCCACTCTGCCTTTAATTTCTCCAAGGTCTAGCATAGTCAACAATAACTATAAAAATACAACATTAAATATAATGTGTTAGCAAAATCAAAGCAGCAGATTAAAAAGCAAGTAAAAAGCAACCAACACATCAGTGACCACAGTTAAAATGCCTAGGTGATGCTAACATCTTCCTCACCTCTTGTCAAGGAAGGACATACAGAGGAGTACTGTATCAGATGATCTTTTATTTTTTTATTATTTAATGTATTTTTATCTAGCTTTTTTTTCTTCTCTTTTTTCTTTATAAAGAACTCAAGGCAGTTTACATAATCTCCTCCTCCCCTCAATCTGTGTCTGGCTCAAAGTCACCCAGTTGGCTCCGTTGCTGTGTGGGGTCTAGACTCAGAAGCAGGTAGATAAAGGATTGCCTACTCCTTCAGATACCTGGGCTCCAAGCTGTTTAAAGTTAAAAATCTATCTAGACAGAATGGACCTTTCTTCAAGTTATCTATGCAATAACAATGGCCATGTTTGACTATTGTAATGAACTGAATTTGAAGACAATTTATTAAAACTGCAGTTGATATAGAATGCATTTGTCTTGGCACTACTGACACAAGGGGATTAGATCACATAAACCCTATGCTGCCCAACTGCACTGGTTACAAGTGTGTTTCTGCACTCAATTTAAAAACTGGTTCGACCTTTGAAGCTTTAAATGACTCAGTACCAAACTACTTGAAGGATCAACATCACCTGTATAAACTTACCTTTACTTTTATGATCAGCAAGAGAGGGTCTTCTCAGTTGCCCACTTGTGAGGTCAGTTAAATGGGCAAGTACACAAGAGAAGGCCTTTGCTGCACTGGCTCCAAACCAAGAATGTAAGAACATTTCAAATACTTCCTTCCCCTGATTATGTTTAATCAGACTGGATAAGGTGACAATTGTGCTGTAGGCTCTATCTTTTGTTGATGTTTGCTGGTTTTGTGGAACTTTTGCCACTTTTATTATTGTATCAGGTTTTTTAAATTTTATGTTATGCATTTTACTGTCATACACACTTGGGAAAGGAACCTGCCTTGAAAAGCTGCCTATAAATATTTTAAATAAATTAAATAAATCCAGTGTTTTTAATTGGGCTTGGAAACAAATATGAAGATAGTGAGGATCTATCAAAATGGGCATAAAACCAGAAGAATAGATAGTGTCTATCAAGATTCTGACAGCTACACTTTACTGAGTATTTGGCATACTGAAGGCATCTATATCTGACCCACTGCAGTAGTCCAGTTGTGAGGACAGCAAAACATTGCAAACTATGTCCATATTGAAGGCCGCAGATGAACCAGCCACAGCACATAAAAGGCACTCAATACCACAAAGTCCACTTGGCCCTCTATTACCAAGGGAAGATACAGGAAAAAACTCAAGCTGCAAACCTGAAGACAGTGGAATTCTATGTACAGTGCCCAGAAAACTTTAATATAATTTATTTAGTATAGTAATAAATTGCAACTCAACACATTTCTGTTATGGGTACTCAATTTAAATCAAGAACTTAATTTTCCTTCTTTCTTCTCCAATACTAATGTTTTATATATGAGTAAATGAAGCTGAAAATTAATTATTTAAAATAATTTCCTTCCGTCTTCCTGATTTATATTACTGAATTAAATTGTTTCATTTTAGATCTTTACAAACTTAAAAAGCAGATTATTAAAAATTAATATAGCTACTAATAAAATATACAAAATGGAAGAATAGGACATCCAAACCTAAACCCACTAATAAAACAAAACAACAGAACAGAATATGGTAAGTTTTGTGAAAAGTATTTTTTCAGAACAGTTCCCAAATAATTTCTAGCAGGTTAAGTCTTTGAGACAGCAGAGCAAAGATAAAGCTATAGTTATGCTTTTTGAAGCTTATGTAAGTTTTATACCAAACCACAAACTGCCATGAACTATCATTGGAGAAAAGGAAAGAAATCAAGGAAATGCTTTGGTTACTTTAAAGATAATACCAGTGCAAGACTTAGGACTTAATATGTTCATGTTAGACATATAAATGAAACCAGCTGGACAGCTCCAACTGGTGCAGCTATTGAGCAACCGTGAAATTCTGGACTTCTAAAGGATCATCTATTTGATAGAGTCTGAAATTGAATATTCCATTAGATCTTTCAGCAATTCCTTAGGCCAGATCCTACATTATTCAGGGCATTCCACTCAGTCCCCAAGGAGGCTTTTTCCAGGACTCAGGTAAGGAAGAAACTTTCCTCCCATTTGATTATAGTATTCCATACAGATTATCATCACCTTGGATTATTATGGAATATGCATTAAATAACTTTAGTGACTTCTAAAACTGTGACTTTACCGAAGTGTTATCCATTTGGTTTATGTTTGAATTTTGAACTTCCAGTAACAAAAGAGGCAGACTATGCATACATGTGCTTGACCATTCTTTATCTTGATACCTGGCTGGGGGAAGGGAATGAAAGGGCAAAGCTACCTTTTCTCCTTCTATGCCTCCCAAACTATTGCAAGAAAAACTATCCTGTTCCTTTGGCCTGCTACACAGTCATCTGCGCACACTCAGGAACAAGTGCCAGCAACTGTGCAAGCCATGCCTCACATATACTGTTCCTTTATCTTTTTCTTCCAAAACATGCTTTCCTGCCCCAACTTTGAGAAGCCTTAAAGGAAAGGAGAAGATGCTACTGCAAAGACAGTAGCCTCCAAAGAACCTCCAGGGTGATTTAGGTGGGCATGGGGAGGTAAATGAGTGCAGGGTACTATGAGGTAGTAAGTAGGTTAGAGTAAGTTTGGCAAGAGCACAGGAAAAGGGCAGGTTGGGAAGGATATCCCACAAGATAAATATTGGTTTCCCCTGCCAGGCACCCTACTGGGAATGCTCCCTTCCTCATGATCTGCTATTGGCACTTTGAAAGTGGAAGAGCAGCCAAAGGAAGAAACCACTTCCCTAAGCAAAACTTTTTGCAATGTGTTTACAGCTGTAATAATCACTAATCTACATATTAAGCACACTGAGAGAGTGGCATTTTGAACTTTTACTTCAGGTGATAACAAGGCTGCAGCAGGAGAAATGTATTTGTAGTTCCCCCTGTCCCTCTTCTCTGCATAAACAAACAAAACTGCAGCAGCCTTACATGGCGTAGTAAACTAATGCAGCACAGAAGTTTCCCAATCTTTATAACATTTTTTTCATTAAGTAAGAAGTTACTAAAGGACAGTTAATGCTGACTTATCATATGCATACCACCAGTTTTAACCATACAGTTTTCACATACAGAAATAAGAAATGAGTCAAGATCAAACATTTCCCCAAGTGTTTGTCTTACCTGTTATCATGCTTGATATAATTAAAGGCAATATGATAAGTTTAAGCATTCTCATTAGAACTTCTCCTGGAAATGCAAAGTAAAATTTGTCCAAATTTGAGAGTTTTCCATATTCCCGAACAGTGACTCCCAGTCCAATGCCTAAAACATAAAGTGAAATACAGAAGCAAATTTAATGTTAGGAAAAAACAGGAAGCAAAACACTGGATCCAGATATTTACTTGCAGAAGGGGCAAAAGCCTTTCTTGCCCACCCCTTTTCCCACCAGCAGCTAAAGCGCCCTAAAATAGCTTCCCTGAATTTCAAGGGACCCTGCCTCGCTCCATGGGACAGACTGTGGCATGTAATGCTGTGGGGAAGAGGAAAATTGTGGAGAAAGCAGTGGATGGACGTTCTGTGACTAAAAGAGAAGGGGCATCTATCCGCTTTTCTACAATCTCCACTTTTCCCCTAGCCCCCCTCCCCCCACCATGCCACAGCGGAGCCACCAATCCTTAAAGGAGAATTTGGCACCATGGGAGCTGGTGGGAGAAAGGAAAGACAGTCAGGTTCTGCCTCACCTCTTTCATGGGCGGATACCTGGATTCAAATGAAAGCATTTTCAATGTAATCTTAATAGCATTGAAACAAATTATCTTAAAATTGTAAAAGTCTATCATTTACAGCAATGTTCTCCAACCTGAAGCCCTCCAGATGTGTTGGACTACAATTTCCAGCACCCCCCAAGCACTATGGCAAAAAGGCTATGCTGGGAATAGCTGGATTTATTTGCTTATTTCTATACTGCCCCACTGCCAAAGCTCTCTGGGCAGTTCACACAGTCCATAAAAACAGGTGATGAATGTACAATAAAATATAATAAAATCAGTAAAATATTAATATATTGTTCAACACATCTGGAATCCACCAGGCGAGAGATGGTCATTTTAGAGTCTTATTTTTCTATCCCTCCTTTTTTTTTTTTCCAAAGAACTCAAAGCAGTTTACATCATTCTCCTCTTCTGTTCTCAATCTGTGAGGTAGGTTGGGCTGAGAGTGAGTGGCCCAAAGTCACCCAGTTCATGATCCATGGCTGAACAGGGACTAGAACCCAGACTGCCTGGATCCCAGTCCTGCACTCTTAACCAGTAACCCCAAATATAGAAGTATTTATCCTAATGCTGTTCTCACTGCCTCATAACTTTTCCTTCAAGGGTAGTCAAAGTTCTTCCCTATGGAAGTTGAAGAAGAGTACTCTTGACAGATCTGAAATTTCTGCAAGCTTCCTATAAGCAACTACACAATCCCACAGAAAGGACTGCACATACCCTGTTTCCCCAAAAATAAGACCTATCCCAAAAATAAGACTTAGCTGTATTTATTCCCAGGGCCAGTGGGGAACATAAAGAGCCTTTTTAAACTTTATTTTTTAACTTACCTTTAACTTAATGCACTGTGTGGAGGAAACATGCTTACACAGCTCTGCTCCCTCCACTCCCTGTGGAGGGAGCAGAGCCGCATAAGCTGATGCTTCCTCTTTAGCACCAGCTCCTGCCACAGGCGGAGTGATACCAAATGTACATGTATTCATGCTTTTGTACATGAATAAGTGTGGATTGTTTTACACATTAAAAAAGACCTACCCCGAAAATAAGACCTAGTGTGTTTTTGTGAGCAAAAAAAATAAAATAAGACAGTGCCTTATTTTCAGGGAAACATGGTAGTAAGAATAAGTAAAAATCTGTTACTGGAAGACTGTATGTGCTATACACAACATGTGCTATACCAAAATCAAAAATTTCCCCAATTTTTTTACTATATTCACAACAAAACACATTCAGAAGCAAGATAGTGATAACTAGAAAGATCTTTATTTCACTGAATATTCAACAAAACGTATTTGATAGCTGTTTTGCATATATTCTTATAATGCTACAGTGTTGCCAGCAATCACTGGACCATTTTCACATGGAAATCTGTCACAGCAGAAGTACAAAAAGACAACTATTAGCAGGAGAAGAAAGAATCTCAATCCAGCCACCAGTCTCTGGGCTGGTCATAGATGCAGCAGCACCCATGCTGAAAAAGCTCTGAATATCACAACTCTCATAGTCAAAGCATAGCAATCAAAGCATGATTAAAATATGTCACAAAACTGTAAAAATTACAGTGCATACACTCTCATAGAAAGCAGGAATTGTCAATTCAAAGCAGATATACATCATTTAACCGCTGCCTAGAGCCAGTTTTTTGTTCAGCACGTGCAATTTATTGTTTTTAGTCAATAAATTGAATGGCACTAACAGGGTAGCCAAGAAGCCACAGATGCATGTGTTGGCCTTTGGTGATCCTGTAGATTTAATTCCTCTCAATATATTTGCATGAATACCAATTTTATTCACATGGATTTGAAATTCTGAAGTCATTGTAATAAATAATATAAGTTTATGTACATGCTCTTAGCTGTTAGAAAAAACTTTCAAGGATGAAACCATTCAATGATCTTCCCTCAGCAGCTTAGTTATTATTACATCATCAATTTATTCTGAGCAACATATTTTGACTATTTTAATTATTTCAAAGCTGTAAATGAAGAATGTTATCACCTGAGCTTTGATCTAAACTGTCTGAAAATGAACAGGATAAATCAAATGATTTTCCATTATACTGTAGTGGGTCTGAATATTTTAAAAATATTTTTGCTTCATTAATTATTAAAAACACCCAAAATGATATTCACTTGGTATGTCATGACGGACCATGTTCAAATAATCAGTCTCTCAAGTTTCAGACTTTCAATTTAGTTTCTCAAAAAAAAAAAAAAGCATACATAGTCAATTAATTAGAGTAATTTTAGTCAGAAGAGAGGTCTTGAGCAATTAACCCTAGTTTCCAATAGGATTCTTTTGTAAAAGTACAATATAAACGAGATGGACTCATGCCTGCATGCGATGTTAGCATTAAAATGTATTGGACATTAAGTGGCATATGCACAATCTACTTGCAGCAGTACATCCCTCTCTCCAAAACACTGTAGTTTGGGTCAATGCAACAAGCACATCCCTACCAAACAACATTTTCCAAAATTCTTTAAAGGGAGCCATGATCATTAAAATTGGTATAAGATCAATGTAACTATTTGAGGTATTTATATTCAGAGACTCTTCAAGAGTGGGACCAACATACCTGCCTCCACTAAGTCAATCAGTTGACCTCAGAGACGCATACACAGCTTCTATTAATTTATTGATTACATTTTATACCATCTAATAGCTGAAGCTCTCTGGACAGTTCAGAAGAATTTAAACAATAAACTACAACCAAAGATACACAATTAAAGTTTAAAACTCCAGTATAAAATAGAAAAAAACCCAAAATAATACGAGCTAATAACAATGAAGCTAGTTTGAAACAGAAATTGAAAGACTAAAATGTCTGAGAAAGTATTCAGCAGGTGCTGGAAAGAAAACAATGTAGGTGTAAGGTAAGCCTCTCTGTGATACTCATTCCATAATCAGGGTGCCACAAAAGAAAAGCTCTCTTCTTATATAGCTACCTAACTTCCTGAAGAACAGCTGAAGATGACCTCAGGTCCCAGGGCAGGAATACTTGGGAGGAGTCCCTCTTTCAGAGAAGCAGGCCACGAAGTTATTTTAGGGTTTGAATGTTAATACCAGCACTTTGAATTGGATCTGAACTGGTAGCCAGTGTAGATGGAAAAGTCCTGGCAGAATAGGATCACACTGGCCAGTCCCTGTTGGCAAACTTACTGCCTAGTTTGGACCATTTTCAAAGACAGCTCCATGTATAATGAATGGCAAGAGGTTACCAGAACAAGGATAACTGTAGCTACACTATCGAAGTCCAGATACAGAGGCACCTAAGCTGCCTACCGAATCCATCTGTGCCCCTAGTGACAATGTTGGATCCAAACACACCTGCAAACAGGTGCAATCCTCTTCAGAAGAGATGGAATATCATACATCTGGCAATGCAAATCACTCACAGTACCTCTGTCTTGTCTGGACTGAGTAGCAGTTTATTAGCCACTATTCAGTCCGTCACTGGGCCCAGAACAACCACTGCCTCACCTGGATTTGATGAAAATGAGAGATAAAGCTGAGTCTCAGCTGCATATTGATGACACCTCTGCCCACATAAAACAGAGGTGGCCAGATTTGTTCAACAGGAGAGCCACATAATGTAAATGTCAGATGTCTGAGAGCCAGTGTGGTGTAGTGGCTAAGAGTGTGGGACTGGGACTCAGACAATCTGGGTTCTAGTCCCCACTCAGCCATGGAGCCAACTGGGTGACTTTGGGCCAGTCACAGACTCTCAGCCCAGCCTACCTCACAGGGTTGTTGTTGTGGGGATAAGATGGAGGAGGAGAATGATGTAAGCTGCCTTGAGCCCTTTGTAGGAAAAAGACAGGATATAAATCGGAAAAAAAAAAAAGCTGCAAGTGAGCACCCACAGGCAATGACAACAGGTGGCAAGCAGGTGCCTGTGTGTGGAGCAGGAGAGCAAGCTGCAAGTAGGTGCTGGTGGGCACCTACAGGAGGCAAGCAGCGAGATGCAAAATAAACTCAAAGAGCTGCATGTCATTCCCAAGCCTTGGTTTGGCCACCCCTGGCATACAGCAATAATGCCCCAGAACCACATTATGGAATCAGTCATCTAAGTAGGAATAGAACTACTGCAGTGCAGTACCTCCAATTTCCAGTCCAGATAACTTACCCAGGATACATTGGTTGATGGCACCAAAAGCCACTGAGAGGAGAATCAACAGAATTATACTCCCCCATCCCTTTCCCAGGAAACATCATCCAACAGTGTGACCAAGGCAGCTTCCATTGCAAAATGAGACCTGAAACTCAACTGAAATGGATCTTGATAATCTATTTTTTTCAACAGTGCTTTGAGTTGATGAGTAACCACCTGTTGAAGCATCTTGCCTAGGAAAAGGTTGTTAACTAGTGGCCTAGAGTTGTGACTATCATCCAGGTCCAGGTGAGGATTTTTCAGAAATAGCCTAATTACTCCCTTTCTCAAGGACAATATTACTATATCTTAAAAAAAGTCTTGTATCCCCCTCCCTATTTGATGTAATAAGGCTTGAAGGGCAAGGGTTAGGCAAACAGGTGCCAACCAAATTTGGCCAA